GTTTATTGTATATATATTTAAATATATACTACTGTACACATTAGAATGAGATTCGGCAGTGGAAAAATTATTTCCCCAAATTTCTAAATTCCCGCCGGTCCATTCCTCCCCCCCGCCCCCTTTTTTTTTTTTGCTCTGCTTACTGCTCATATGTTTCCCCAAATTTCCAAATTCCCGCAGCTCCATTCACCCCTTCCCCCTTTTGTTTGCTCTGCTTGCTGCTCAAATTCCCCACTCTAGACCAGAGGCCTCCACTGCTTCCTCTCTATCGTTCGCGTCGCTCAATCTCGCCACCGACGAGCCTCCATTGGTTCCCCTCCCTTATCTAAGCTCCAATTTCACTCTGAATCCAAGCCCTAGATCGTAGAAAACTACCCAATATGGACAGGGAATGGCGTTCCAAGCCCACAGCGGAGGCGCCGCTTCCGTCCAGAACGAGGCCATCGACCGCCGGGAGAGACTCCAGCGACTCGCCCGGGAAACTATCGATCTCGCCAAATACCCCTACTTTATGCGCAACCACCTCGAATGGTAACCCTAATTCTCTATCTCTATATATCTCTCTCTCTCTCTCTTCAATTTCACCTCCGATTGAAATTAGGGTTCGTTTCTGATTGTGTTGTTTTTGGTTAGCTATGAGTGTAAGCTTTGTTGGACTCTGAACAATAAAGAGAGGAATTACGTGGCCCAGACTCAGGGGAAGCGCCACCAGACGAATTTGGCCAAGAGGGCGGCTCGCGAGGCCAAGGAGGCTCCTGCTCAGCCTCAGCCCCATAAGCACAAAGTCCACATTCGGAAGATAGGCATGTCTTCCTTTCTTCTCATTTGTGCTTTAATTTTTGCTCTCATTGTCATTTTGTCAAACAGTTAGTGGGTTGGAAAGTTTCTTATTAGTTTTAAAAAATTGTTGATTCTTCGGCCAAAGATCATCATATAAGCATGAATTTCTTTGTTTTCTTAGTTTATGGACTGATCTTAGATGTATGAACAAGCTATATAGCCTACAAGTTTACTGATCTCATTTCCTTAAAAAAAACCTAAACTCACAGAGAGATGGTAAGGAATTGATGTCTAAAAATGACTGTGTTATTATTACTTATTGACCGGTTTCAAGGCTCCAAGGCCAAAGGTAATTGCCAGATTATGTGTGTGTGTGTGTGTGTGTGTAGTACGTGCGTGTTTTTTTTTTTTTTTTTTTGGTTGCGGGGAAAACTGAAGAGAAAAGAAAGGAAAGGAAAATAATTGATTTTTGAGAAGAATTCCAAATGTTTTGAACTGCTTCAGTATTTTGATTCTATTATTGAAAGTTCTTCACATATCTTTGTTTAATATATGTGAACTTGTACTGCAGTATACACATTTGAGGCCGGTATGTCAAACCAAGAACGTGCTTTTAGGTACATATACACCGTGGCTATGATGTTTAATTTGTGTATTATGGCCTAGTTTCTTATGTCGAGTGATATTTGAAGTTATGACAATAATGTGTTGCCGGTGTATACCATTTCGCTTGGCATATTGTTAAACCTTTTCGGTTCTGAACTCCTTGGTAAGTATGCTTTGCTTCACTCTAACGGCCATCCCCACCAATATGGCGAAGTTAGCTAAACCTTGATAGCGTAATTGTCATTGCTTATGAAGTTTGCTCCATACGTGGAACCTTAGGGCCACCACACATTCCTTACATCAAAAATATATACATGGCCGCTTATGGTATGAAATTTAAATGCCATGATTAATATGTGTTTGGAGGCCATGGATCCTTAAACCGAGTGATTTTTAATGGTGTGATAATTGTTGGTTGCCGGTTTATGCAAAAACTCTTGCCACATTGGTATATAAACTATGTTCACAAGTGATCTTATATGGAGAATTGGTTTATTTAAAGTGAAGTGAGAACTTTACATTATGCTAAAGTGATGCTAAACCTTGGTAGCAAACTATGTCATAGTCTAGGATAATGCTCCATAAGGGGATGATGAGGGCCATTACACATTTCTGAGCCTACTATGCGTGAAATTGAACAAGGGGGATATGTCGCGGGAGAAGGTGATCTCTAGGACCCAAGATGCGAACAATAGGTTGGTTTTCTTTGAGGGATGTAACTATGCGTTTGATTTGGAGGATTTATTGGAATGGAATTGATTTGCAGAGGCTTATGTTTATGATTAGTTTTGGTTTTGCTAATTTGCTGATTTGCTGATTTGCTAATTTGCTTTGGTTTGGGCTTTCTTTGCTCTTTTGCTATTTTGTTTTGCTTTGCTTTGCTGAACAGTTTTATGCAGGAGTTGTCACCAGGTTTTTTCCTTTCTTACTTCTTATTTTTCTTTATGATTTGATCTTTTTTTTTTGGTAGTCAATTTTCTAAATTGCCTAGGGTTTAAATGAATTTTGATGTTGATTGTTGTAGTGCCGTCAAAAAACTATAGATTTTGTGGCCTCTTGTAAGAGTAAGAATGGGGAAAAGCCTTGCACTCTTCACGTCTGTCACAAATGTCTCTTGAACAGGTTAGATTTAGCGACAAATTGGTCGTTTCTAATGCAATTAAGTAATTTTTGGGATTATTTTTACCTGATATGCTTGATTAATGAAATTCTTTGCATGGTAATAAACGAATCTATGAGGCTTTATCCACCTGCTAGTGTACAATATCTGATGCTAAATCCTTTATTGTGATAATGAAGACTCCATATTTATGCATATGGTGCTTTCTTTATTTTTTTTATATGATTGTGATAACAAGTTTTTTTTCTCTTCGGGTTTAAATGTTGGCAATGAAGACTCATGCTTTCTCCAACTATCTACATAACAATACATGTAAGATACTCTCTGTCTTACAAGTTTGACATTAAATTTTTGCCTAGTGCATCATTGAAGCCATGTTTTGTCTAACTCACTGCAAAACATATGTGGATGTGGCTATGTAGTTGTGAATGGTGTAACTAGCCCTTGCTTTATTTATAGGTTAAATTGTGGAAGTTTTAACTGAGTTTGATGACTTTTTTTTTTATGGATCACTTTCTTATACGTTAAACAGTGGAGATGACTTTTTTGTTGAAGCATTTTGTCAAGATGGAAGGATTTTACCATTTCATTTAGCTAGACGTTTTGGATATTTTTATATCTCTAGCTATTCGTCTGTTTTCTTTACTTGTTTTGAATGTTAAGGTTTTGGACATTGTATGACTTATGTTGTAGATGTAATTTTATTGCCAACTTGATAGATACTGATAACAATTGATATGTTGAATGTTTTTATGTTTTAATTTGAATGTTTCTATTTAGATATAAGATGTTGTTCAGAATCACCATCTATTTGAATGAATTCAAAAGGATATCAATAATAATTTTAAAAAGCTACAAAAGTATGAACATAATAAGGAAAAAAAGTTATTAATCTATATCATAGTCATGCTAAATAGTTGTAAGAGGTTGAAAATAATTTGTCTTAAACGCTATAAGACTCAATTTTATAGCGTTTTTCATAACGCTCTTAGAACGCTATGTATTCTTAAGACTTTTAACAGCATCTGATGTCTTAGTGTTCCACAAAATGCTATTGATAGTGCTTAATAGCATTTTTGGTTTGATATTTGTTGTGGTAATTTCTCTTCAGAAATCCGCCTCTTTTGACTCACTTCTTTAGTTTTGCATCATTTTTTTAGAATTATGATATTTTTTAGATAAATTGAGAGTGCAGTAATTGCTCAGCTCGAGTTTATTAAAAAGAAAAAAGAAACAAGATAAAAAGAAAAAAGAAGCAAAATAAAATGAGAATAAGAAACAAGCCATAATGACTAACAAAAAAGATAAAAAAAAAAAAAAACTCAACCATGTGGAAAATGGTGACAACCGGAATATGGCATGAGCCAATCCGGATATATGTATGTAATTGAAATCCTCCCACTTCGTATACGAAGATCATAGTAATTCTTTTCCGGTACCGGAGATCTTAACTTCACCTAAATTTATCAAATTATCATAAGACTCTGAAACCACTAAGTCCATTTCTTTACGAGCGCTTGCATAATCATCAAATTTCTCTCATCAAGTTGATCCGTCCAAGAGCGAGGTGTGACTTTACCAACTTTTTGAACCATGTTCTTGATTTTCTTTATAGGGACTTTCTCATGTGTTCTCTCATTTTTTAGAACATTAATATTTTTTTATTTTTTAGTTGTTAAATCTGTATCAGAATCTATCTGTTTTACATAGTTTTTCAATCTAATGTATGTTGACTAGATGTAACGGCTCAAAAAATAAAGAACACCGGTGTTCCAAAAAAAAAAACACTGAAAAAACTCCATTAATTCTTTATAATCTTTGCTACAATTATGCTATTCTTACCTCTTAAATTAAATTATAATAGAAAAGAGTAATGAGATAAACATTATAAGAAAGAATAGAAAAAATTGTTGAACTTACTCTTACAGTGTTGGAGTTTAGATTTTTATCTTTTATTTTAAATTAATACTTTTTTACTAATATAATTATTTAATTAAAAAATATATTCATTAAGAGTAATGCATATAAATTCAAAGTCATATACTTTAAGAGGTATTTATCTCTATTTCTTGAAAGAATATAAATTTTTTATATTCCTCTGGTGAGGTGGTGTTTTTCTAGATTTACTTTCTCAAACTAGGCCTCATGAAGTCATGATGTTGTTGGCTTGTGCGTCCGTACAGAAGCTCGATATAGATTAACAGGCTGTTATAACGCTGTTGGGAGATTAATGAGACGTTTAATTTATAGATTAAGAATCATGATTTATGATTTTAATTTTTAAAATTTAAATTTTTTATGAGAAAAAAATACTATAGAGAATTAAAAATTATGATTCAAAATCATAAATAAATCCTTAAAACAAACATTCTATAATTGTCTCATTTTGCGTCAATCCTCCGCTCGCTCTCATATAAGCAATCTCATATAAGCAATTATGACATTTTTAGAGCCATTTGAGTTAAATTAAAAAGAAGAGAAAAAAAATCTAAAGTAATGCCTCTCTTCTGAAGGAGTATATGTATAAACGTTTATGGCTTTTTTTTTTAAAAAAAATAAAGATTTATGTTTCTTCTTAAAGACGGTCTCTCGTTTGCTCACAGATTCTAGTTTTCAATTCAAACTAAAATGTGATATTTTTTTAGAGTTTTAACTGTAGTAAAAAAAGTTATTTCAATTCAAACTAAAATGTGATATTTTTTTAGAGTTTTAACTGTAGTAGAAAAAAATTGGATGTGATATTTTTTAAAAGCTTTTAATTGCAAAAACTTAAAATTGAAAACTCGAATCGGTGAAATGAATAAGGCCTTAAACATTAAAAGATTTTTTTTCCTCATTTTCTCCTCTTATACATTAATTTAAAGATAAAAAAAAAAACATAATTCTAAGACAAGTTCATAAAACTAAAGAGGTGAGTTAAAAAAGGCATGTTTTCTAATTTTTCCTAAGTATCCAATATATAATTGGCTAGCTTAAATCTGAAGCTAATTTTTTGTTAGATGTTTACACATTTGCCCTTAGAATTTATACGGTTTTAGCAATTTATTTCTTGAACTTTTAATTTCAGCACGTTGCCCCCTCAACTTATAAAAATGGTTGCAATATACACTATTTTGACGATGATTATATTAAATTAGTGTTAAAAAAATGCATTTGATAAAAAATTTTAACAAATGTATCACAAATCTTTCAATTCCTTACCATAGATGCTTGGCGCTCCTACTTTGAAGCTTTTCCCACGAATGTTAAGCTATCACATCATGGTATAAAGTTGGCTACAATATGCCCGATCTGTGATGAAGTTTAGGAAGACACGCATCATGCATTATGGAGCTGTCAATGTGCTCAGGAAGTTTGGTTGTCGAGTTCGGTGGGGCTGTTCCTTCGTAAATTTCCAGGCAGTCCGATAAACTCGTTGTGTTCTTTTGTTGTGAAATATGGTTCTGAGGATGATGTGGTTGTGTTTTGTATGGTTCTTTGGAGTATATGGCGTGATCGAAATCTAATGGTCTCTGAGGGAAGAATAAGTGATCATTGGAGCACTTTGGAGCGAGCTGAGTATGTACTGGGATATTATCTTTTGAGCAATGCTTTGAATGACCCCCAGAAGTGAAGTGCAGTAACCCGTTTGTCGAAAATGGAGACAACCTCAAGGTAACCAGGTGAAGATTAACGTGGACGCTGCAATCAAAGATCATTTGGCGTTTATAGGTGCAGGAGTACTGGTAGTCCGTGATGCTTCAGGATGTGTTCTTAGAGCGGCAGCAATTCCTATAGATCGCAAATACTCCCCGCATGTGGCTCAACTATAGCAATCCGCGAAGGGATCTGGGAGGTTTATCGGGGTCGTTTCACAAATTGGGTGATTGAATCGGATGCAATTAATGTCGTTAATGCAGTTTGAGGTCTAATTTCAAGAGCCCTTGAAGCTTCTATTATTGATGATGTCCGAGAAGCTATGTCTCACACTACTAGTTCCTTTGTTTGCTACGTTCCTAGACAAGGGAATTTTTGGTCGACTGTTCGGCTAATTTTGCGTGTTCGCAACTTAGAAATTTTTTTCAGGTGGACTCTTTGCCAGGCTTTATTACGTCAGGATTTTTATTCTTTAGTAATTATTTAATTAAAAAGATATTAAATTAAGAGTAAAATGTATAATTCAAACTCATACACTCTAAGGAGTATCTGTCTCTTCGAGTAACCATTAAATCACGTACCAATATTTGGGTTTGCTGCAATGACACATGGCTATTCATGCATGAAAAGAGATGAGAGGAAAGAGAAAAAAGGAGAAAAAAGGAAAATTAAT